ATGTCAGCTTTGACCGAACTTTAGAGTGTCTTCGAAAGTTGTTTACGGTTTATCGAACAAAACCGCAATAAACTCTTTCTTAACTCGGTCAAGACATTGTCTAATCTCAGACAATTAGTCTACAATTTTATCAAAGGAGAAGCCATTCCAATGGCTGCAGTATTAAGCTTTACGTATATTTAATGATTTCGAAACAAGGTGGTATAACGATTTTCTGATCGCAAAGAAGGCTTAGCGATATTTTTAACAATATTAGCGATAATTCGATAAACGATTTTAATATTGGGTGTACTTATTTCAACGATATTCGCATTCGCTGTTGTCGTAAACTACTCGACAAATCGCTAACTAAGCGACGAATATTTTTAAGTTGTTAGCGATATCGACAAAATATTGTTATTTCATTTAAGAGAGTAAAGTGTCCAGGAAATCGGCTAAGTTATACAAAAATAAAAATAAATGGCTTTTGAATATTAGGAATACGATTTTTCACATATTGAAGAGGTATCCTACCCTTCATCATTGGATAGAAGTTTGCGTCGAGAAGCGGAAGATCCTTTTCAATTGGATGCTACCGAATTTCGGAAGCTATATAGATTAACCCCAGATTTAGTTGAAGAAATCGTTTCTCAACTAGATTGTCAATTAAAAGGAAGAAGTTTTTATTTTGTTTAGTCTTAAGACTATTAAAATGTTTTAAGGTTCTAACCGTCTTGCGGTTTTTCGGGAGCTTTATAGATTAACCCCGGATTTAGTTAAAGAAATCGTTTCTCAACTAGATTGTCAATTAAAAGGAAGAAACAGGCATTAATATATTTTTTATTTTGTTTAGTCTGAACACTATTAAAATGTTTGAAGGTTCTAACCGCCTTGCGGTTTTTTGCAACTGGATGCTATCAACGTCCCGTCGGAGAGCAATAGGCGATATCTATGAGTCAGTCGTAAGTAAGCCGTTGTATTCATCGCGTAAGGTTAGATTTCCAAAGACGCAAGTAGAGCGGCAAGTTGGAGGCACTATTAAAGCTATCGATTGCACTTATGTGTCAATCATGAGTCCCAAAAATCATGAAGAAGCTATGTAAACCACAATGGATACCATTCCATCAATGTCCAAATGGTGAGAGTAACAGCCTTATTGTGGTTTGCGAACGAATAGTCTGACGAATCGTCCCGGACGATTTCGTACAGCACTGACATTCCCTATATTGTTCGTCAACCCTTACGTTGCCTACGTAATAAAGAAATACGAGAAGGAATCGTTTGTCAAATAACATGCTGCCACATGTCATGTATATAAAAATTAAAATAAAAACACTGTTTTTTTTCTAATTTTCGTGTTAGACCAGAATATCCAATAGGAAAACAGCTATTTTTATTGAACGATAATGCACCACCTCACAAGACCAAAAAAGTGAACGAATTTTTAATGAAAAAAGGGATTTCTCTCATCGACCATCCTCCGTATTGGCCTGATCTATCACCATGTGACTATTTTTTATTTCCAAAACTGAAAAATAAGATGAAGGGAGTATTTCATCATGATATCCCAGCCATTCAAGCAGCCGTAACCTAGGTACTGAAGAACATATCTATAAATGACATAAAAAAATCTATGCATCCGCTGGTTGATTTGCGCTAAACACAATTTATTTTTTAAATTTTAAACAAGGGAAAAAGCAAAACTAGCGTCCAAACAAATTTTATGATTGGTTAATAGTTTTATTTGTTTTTTAGAATTTCAATTAAATTCTCAATTGCAGCAACCTCTCTTGATGAAACTGCAGTAATTTCGCGTAAGCTTTCCGCAATGGGTCTTGCCAATACCCGCTCTTAAGGTCGAGTGTTAAGAACCATTCTGTGTCAGTTAATGAGTCTAGTGTATCAGCGCTCCTGGGCAAAGGATAGCTTCTTCTTCTTTGTGACATCGTTCAATCTTCGATAGTCCACGCGGAACGCAACTGGCCATCTTTCTTCTCCACGAGTACTACAGGAGAGCTCCAAGGACTTGCAGATGGCTCGATAACACCGCTTTCGCTCATTTCCTTAATTATTTGGCCAACAGCGTCACGTTTGGCTAGTGGAACGCTTCAAGGAGCTTGACGAATTGGTCTTGCTCTTGTCAAATATGTTGGAGTATTTGCGAAAAAGTTGGCTGGCCTTGTGCTTGTACTTGTTGCTCGGTTTTCTGCCAATTTGCTGGAACTTGTTTTGCATTCGCGTTCGAAGTGACCAGGCTTTCCACATTTAAAGCATTTTCCCCGCTTGAGTCTTGAAACCAGAACGATTCATCCCTTCTAGCGATTTCAGAATTCTCAATATTTCCGTCATCACATCTGGTGTTTCAACCTCCACTTTATTGACTTTGTATGATGGTCTGCTTATGAGTGCCGCCGTTTCACGTGTTTGTGCATACGCAACAGTTTCAGCGAATGTCAACTTTGGATTCGCGTATGTCTCTCGCTTGGTGTACACGTC